AGCCCTTTCCGGGCCTACAGGTGGAGACTCGTCCAGTTGATCTGCCGTCACCAGCCCATTGCCGGGCCGACCTCCGCAGGGTGCATCAACCAAGAACCTTCGGTTCGGCTGATTTAGTGAGACGAGGGGTGAGCACAGTGCGGGCATCGGTTTTGTTTTGCTTTGTTTCAACCATGCATGTGTATGTGCATGTGTGTGTGTGTGTGTGGGGGGGGGTGCATGTGTTTGGTTGGTGCTTGTGTGAAGACACGTGAAAGCAGGTCAGCAGATCTGAGAGGAACAGCTAAAGCGGATTAAGTTTTCTGGTTCAATGGCCAATTGAGTACCGGCCCACATGGTTTATGGGCCTTTTGAGGATGACGTCGTGAAACGGTGAGCCGAAGAGGAGAGCTGAAAAAATGGCCAAGCCCGTCGTGTAACACCTTCACATATTTGGCCGCACCGACTCATCAATTGCTCAATTAAGACGCCTCCCGTCGCAACTGGTGGCCGTTTTCCTTCCGATTGCTGAGCCGACTAAATCATGCGTTTCTGCGTCAGCCTCACGATGGTGGAACAGAACGACCGCTTCAAGCGCGCTGACCTCGAACGGGGCAGATTCACTAGACGAGGATTAAATTGGTCGGCTGTTGGCAAGGCTGCTGGATGAGGGGGAAAGGGGCCACCTCGTGTACTGTCAGGGCCTGGTGGGATCTCGGCCAATAATCATTTGGCAACAACCGACAATATCCATCTGGGGGAGTGTTGCTCCTGGCAAATGCGCATTCGGGTTGGTTAAAATGACACATTATTTCTTTTTATCCAATCCAAAATGAATTACATCATGAGTTGAGACGATTTTAATTGCTCTCATTTAGAACTCGAGAATATTAAAAATGGTGTTTATGAAGATTCCATTTAGGTGGGTCACCCATTAACCAGTGGGCAACTTGCTGGTGGGCGCTATTGATGCTCATTCATTTCCTCATTTCTGTGCCTATAAATCTGTACATGTAAAATCTGTGGCAGTCTTGCTACTCGCCTTGTTTGTACATTTTTTCCAGCACATCCTTAACTCTTCACATTTGTGCTCCCACCCATCATTCAAAATGCACACTCCATTGGGGCAAACTGTTGAGGGATTCCACAATGCCCAGTCTTTAATGATGCAATCGAATAGCAGTCTTCATGTGGCCCAAAAATATGGTCTCGCTCAGAGTAGAACAAGCACCTCGACAAAACTGGAAGCATATTTAAGTTGAAATGTGAATCGCAGAAATGAAACCAAATTAAATTTATATGTATAAAGAGTAGCTGGGTTTTGATGAATCTCTTTAGATAGCATTATTGTGAAGATTTTCACTTTGAAATAAAACGCCTGAGGAAGACTTTCCTGGACTGATCTGATCAACGACCTTCAGGTTGACGCAGTCTACGAGACACCCTCCTTCTTATCGTATGAAAATGGGCCGAAGTTCGTCCTTTATGTCAGTTGGCAGACATCATCAAACCTGGAATTCACTCTTACAAAAGCTTCAAGTCAACAGAACGTCAAGCAGACTATCCGGCTCTATCGTCAGAACTGAAAAAGAAGATATATGGATGTAGATAGATAGATATTTATAAAATGATTTGATTAGTTCACTTTCAAACGAATCTGTATATTGCAAGTTGAGTGCGTACGTGGCCAAACGGCAGCTAGTCGTCGTCTTCCAGTATTTTCATTGTACGAATCTCTGCATCATGCGCTGAAATTCACCACAATAAGATTTCAATTTGGTTTGGCGTCAGATGCTGAATGCAATTTGTCGATCGTTCTGTCGATTGGACCAACGGTAAATGCAAGCCTGTTAACTTGTTAATGATTTGCGAAGTGTAGATGATTAAAAGAAAATGCTGTTGGTTATTCTATAGTCCCGGTTACAAATTAAGCCCGAGGCTTGGTCGTTGAAACGCCCACCGATGGTGCGAATCTCGCATTGCGGTATCCAATGCTCAATTTTGCTTTTCCGCCCAAGTGGCCCGAGGCAAAGCAGGACTCGAGGTCTGCACGTGTTTGCTTGGCATAACCGTTGCCGGAAAAAGAGCTGATGGCGCGGCAACCTGTAGTTTTTTTTCCTCAGGCACTTTATCACAGTAACTAACGCTCTCTTAAGCCGGACACCGAGCAACTCTATAACTGAGCCCTCTTTCACACACACTCTTTCTCTCTTCCTCTGGTTTTCCCGTGTCATAATTGAAAGTTGCAAACATCAAATGTGAAGGAAGAGACAAAAGGGATACCAAAATCTTTGAAGAAAACCAGATGCCCTTTTGTCTGTAGCCAAACGAGTTGGAAAAGCCAAGACAAGATTGATCAAACTGACCGGCATTCTGGCGACAATTTGATTCTCAAAACGCCGGACACTTGAAAAGGAAACCTGATGACCTAAAAGGTCTTCATTGAAAGCAGAGATTACAAAAAAATAATCTATGGACGAATAATAAAAAGTCGAAATTAAAAAATATTTTTGGGCAAATATGTGTTTCAGGTGAAGTGACTGATAAAGGGATTCTTAGGTCCACCTTACTAGAATGCATTGGCTGATTTCCCTCAATCTGTTGTTTTTTTCTTTGGTTGGGATGTTCCGGCTGGCACTCTCCTTGAGCCAGTACACAGCAGATTTCATCATTATGAAAGTCTCTAGCTAACAACAAACTCACAAAATACACCGGCTAATTATTTCAAGCTGCATATGCTTGTAGAACAACTCGACTATCTATAGTTATAAAAAGGTAGTATGATTTTCATACGATTTACATCATCTATACATGTGTGTATGTTAGTGTTTACACGTATGCATACCTGGACTGACGCATTAAAACTAATGAGATTACTTTTAAATAGAATAAAGATGAAACTTCTATCCTATGGTCACCAAGGCTAGAGGAGACTTGCCACTGGAATGATACAAGCCCGGACAATCATGATTAAGAACTGTGTTCGCCCCATTTCTTTTAAAATAATAAAGAATTGGTAAGTAAATTTTCCCTCTATCATTTGAGTAGGCTTCATGTTTACATTTATTTTCATATGCCGTTGATTCACAAGGTTGCACTTTAGTTTCGACCTCGCCTAAACTGGTTTCATGAGTAGCCTCGGTGGGACTCGAACCCGGCTTGTGCAGCGTATAGTCTGGACACGTTGTCACAACGCCACACTACCACGAGTGCCATCGAGTTTTATGGAAGCCTAGACATTTCGTATAACGATCTCTGTGATAGGATCATATTTGCTTTTCCACTAAAGAGAGTGCATCGGAACCTAACCTTGAGTCTCGCTGGGGGCACTGATGAGAGAAATTTAGTTGAGCTCAAAACTGCCATTTGGAAAGCAAGACTATACGAACTCCAATAAAAACATGCATTCTGAGAAACTTCAACTACCAGTATTTCATGACTTGAATTGAAATAGCGTGAGCTTAAGAGTATCAATTGTGAAAGTCACGCGACCAAAAATCGGAAATATAGTATTTGAGTCATTTTCTTTTGGCGGAAGGCTTAGACACCTATACATCCTGAATCTAACAATCA